TGTGCTTAAAAGCGTCGAAAGGAAATTGTGAAAACTATAAGCTGCCGATGATAGAGCATTTAGAGATTCCTTTAGAAAATTGCTTACCAAGAGAAGCAGACCATGCCCAGCATAGAACAACTAGTATAGGAAATTCGCTAATATCAGAGATCTCAAAACAGATTTACTTAGTTTTTTGGATATGCCTAATTATTTGACTTTTCAAAAATACGAAATCTAATTGTATTTGGAATAAACGATGAATGAAGACGAGGAAACGACGTGTAGGAGAAACGAGAGAGCAAAATGGTTCTTTAAGCTACTTCTCAACGTTGTACAAGACTGTAGAAGTACAAGAGTACAAATGTATTATATTTATGTTCATTTTACCTCGATATGCTCATAAATAAATTTTGGAGATTCTGTTGTAATGCTGAGATATTTGCAAAACTCCGGACCGCAGGTGTCTGCGGTGGAGAACGAACGCGCTATCGTCCTTTCCGGGGAGTAACGCGTTCACCACCACACCATGTGGGTCCTCCATTTCGCGTGTCTCTCAGCTAGTTCTATTGATCTTTTGCCATCAGCAATCACGCTTCAGTAGGATTGATCTGGGGAGCCCAAATCGGCAACGAACCCAGTTAAGCTGAGGCTGCAGTTATAATCACAATTTTAACTTATTAATTAATTTAATTTTAACCTTAAAAGACCAATAGAACTATCTGAGAGACAGGCGAAATGAACGACCAGCATGGCGTGGTGGTGAACGCGTTACTCCCTGGAAAGGACGATAGCGCGTTCGTTCTCAACCGCAGACACCTGCGGTACGCAGTTTTACAAATATCTCAGCATTACAATAGTTATATTTCGCAAAAATACCCTGCCGTTAAAAAGAATAGTCAGTAAATAAAAAGGTTAAGTTTGGAGATTCTTATAGAACTATCTGCAGCGATATTTCTGCACAGCAACGTTTCCAGCTACTTTCAGCAATTTTTGATTTATTAACATCTCTGTGAGGATACTGAGTTGCTATTTGTTTCAAATAGAACGAGTGAGGAAATGACAGATGTAGGACGGGAGCGCTCAGGCATTTCAGAGCGTGCGCCGCTAGACACTGCTCGTGAGGGTGCGCGTCGACTACAAACTATAAAATGAATCGCCGTTGATTTCATGAATATTTTCTGCACCTCTAGCGCAACTTCTTTCAATTCCATGATTCTGGAAACGGTACAGTGTAGTGCTCTACAGTAATCCCTTGAATAGGTTCCAACATCATTTAGTAGGCAACGTTATCCAGACCAGACCACATGTACAAGATATTATCGTTTTCCGAATGTCTAACATTGCTGTTGACTTCGTCTGTTGATAGTCTGCCTTATTTATGCTTGTCATCTTCTTCGAAAATGTGAGGTAGCAAACTCTCATCTTTCATCATTTTACCACACCAGCAATCAAAAATAAACACAACCATGCTGAGATAATAGCAAAACGTGGATGCCGGACCAGATAGAACCAGAATTACCCTTTTCTGGAATCACGTAATACACACTGCACCACTGAGACCCTTGCTTTGCGTTTCTCTCAGCTAGTTTTCTACTTAGCGCTGCCATTAGCAATCATCCGTCGGCGGGATTGATCTGGAGAGCACAAGTAGGCATAGAACCTAGTTAATCTAGGGCTGTGGTTTAAATCAGAATGTTTTTTACGGTATTTTTTTGCGGATATGATACCAGAACTTCGTTCCTCACCACAGACACCTGCTGCCAGAAGTTTTGCAGATATCTTAGCATCATTGCAGTTGCACTTCACATTATACTCTACCGTGAAAAATTGTAGTAGGAGCAAATAAAAATTTAACATTGTGATAAATAAAAAGAAACGCTTACACGGTTCGTCTTTGCAGAGTCTGTGACATCCTTCTTAAGGCAAAGTACAAGAATATGGGCTTTGAATGACCATTAATGATGACTTAAGCATTCGAGTCTATGAAGTAACCTCAAGGTGTTTGAATGCATATTTAGCCCAGAAAATAACTTTTTGGACCTGTTGGGGTGTGAAGTTGGTGCTTTTGTCATCTTAAGCAAATCTGGTATAGTTTTCACGGGTCGGTGTTCGAACCAACAGCCATGCGTGTATTGCAGGACACTTCTAACCAAGACAACCAAGCATGACACGCCTAGCAGATAGCTTCATATGAACGAGTTGAACATAGAACTTACACTCCTTGTAAATGTAAATGGTATGCTATGCATCCTGTGTCTCCATGTAATGAACTCATTGAGTTAATCGACAAATAGCGACTTAGTAGTCCGAAGAGCAAGCCGATGGGCGCCGTACATATTCGGGTTTTCTTCTTCTATAGAAACTTTATATCGAATTCGTTGATCTCAATAAGAGGGAGAGTTTCATTGCACTTTAGCTTCTTTCTCTCCGATTACCTCAGCGTTCGTCCACGATGACTCCTAGAGGCGAGGATCGCGTGCGTGAATGAGCAATAAGCTCCTCGCCCACTCTTCGACGTAGTTCCATCTCTTCACGCTCATATGGATTAGAATGGTAAGTATTGCATCAGATTCCATCAAACTATGTTTCAGTAGCAAAAATTTAATTAAAATGCTTTTGCCGGCAGTATTTATATATACTGTTGTTCTCTTATTGCGTTAAGTTAACAATCTTATACATTCTTTTTTAGTATGGATTCATTCATGAGAGTATTCGTCAGTTACTATTGCGAAGATACGGCGATGAACTCTGGCAGGAAGTACTGTGGGTAAAGCTTGATGAAATAATCGATCACTATGTTATGCATTATTGTTATTGGCTGGAAACAAGCCAACAGTTGCAGACTGTGGAGTAGATTGTGCGAAAACAATCGTCGGTACGTCTCTGGGACCGTACTCCATACAGTCTTCCCTTCTGATTTCAATTGTGACATTGTCTTAAAATTGCGAACCAATTAATTTTGAGAGTCTTTGCTATTTAAGAATTTATAGCATTCTTGTATAGTGAATTTCTCGATCTAGTTTCGTATAACTTTTTTCTTCTCCGTATTATGGTTTTCTCATAGTTCTTGAAGGGTCATGAAGGATTACTTGCGCTAACCAAGTCCAAAGTATTCTACAAATGAGGAGCATAACGTAGCAATTTCGAACAGAATTCGTCCGATTAATTGGTTATTGTTAAGGAAACGATCTGGCTTCGAAAGCGGCAAGGAGAATATCGTAAATCATCATTATCCGGATTCAGACACCTACCTACTCGTCGACAGTGTATCGGTCCTGACAAGTTCGTCTGTTATTCATTTAACCCTATGTGTACGCGAATTAATGTACTCATGTATGTATGTATCCATTTATGTGTGTATGCATGTATGATGTATGCATATATGATGTATGCATGTGTAATGTATGCATGTGTGTATGTATGTATGTGTATATATGTATATATATGTGTATATGCTTATATCTATGAATGCATATATTTGTTTATATATATGTATATATATTCATATATATATGTATATATACATACATGTGTGTCTCCTGTCTGTCAGTCTGTCTCCGTTCAATTTAACAACGTGCAATCGTTCTACATCTGTTGAACGATCGGTCTCATCGATGGAGAGACGTTGTGCTAGCATTAGTGGAACAGTCGGCCAGTAAATGACAAGCATCGCTTAGGCATGTTCTTGCCAGGGCCTGAACCTAGACCTAGACCGTGACATCACGTGTAGAACTTTATTCTACTCTGCTAAGGATTTATTTAGAATGACTTTTGTTTACTGTTACGCAGGGTAGGATTACTTTAAATTACGATATGGTCCAACTGTACACTTTGATACAACGTAATCCTATCACCATTTTGTCAATTCACTGCAATTCCGTTTCTTCTAATATTATTGTTTATTACTTGATACTTGATACTTGAACGGCCTGTCATCACTGGTTGTGCGGGCCCCAACATAATCTCCATTTTTCGGAGATTTCCTGGCCAAGCCATTGTGGTTCCCTGGAGACCCGAGATCAGCAGGGCCAAAGTTTGTCCCAGGTCGTTGTGGATCAGAATGAGATTTGCCACTACGCGACTACTTTGATACCATGACCTTAACAGATCCTGGTATTGGTTTACTGTAGGCTAGGCTTCCTGATGGAAACGCCGGACTATTTCTCAGCTTCGGAGACCCTGCCAGGGTGATGAGTCTCCCGCTGTACATCGCAGCCCGACACCCAGGAACACCTCCCAGCCACGATGAGGAGGTAAACCGTTAGGAGGTTATTGTTTATTACGTCATTTTCTTGTTCAGCAATCACGAGGTTGTTATACATTTAGTTTCATAGAAAAATACGCAATACAATGTAACAGTAGCTGACATTTCGGCGAAAGGCGAAGACGAAAAACTTCATGGCAATTACATAATCAAAAGCTTCTCGAAAAACTCACCGCTTTTTACGTGACTTCCAATGAGGAAGATTAGAACGGCTGATTATAGTCGAATATGGTTGATGACCGCACCACCCCACATCAGAAATTGATGCGAACATACGGGGTCAGGTCGTGTATGACCTCTGGGCATTCCTTCCTGCTATTCATTGTAGGAGAGTTCTTGGCATTTATATAAAAAGCCTCAAAAAGAAGAAACAATAACCTCCCGATTGCTGAACAAGAAAACGGCACATTCGTATTCCAATGCCGAGGTTAATAGAAAGTCGATCCTGATAATTGTTTATTACGTTTGACTAATTGCAACTATTATCCTTATTAATCGTTATTATTATTATCGTTCAAACCTGACCTTTTCATAAAAAGCTTGGATGATGCCTTTTATGGATAGTGCTGTCGATTATTCGGGACAGCAAATTTTTCCGCCGAGTTAAGATGAAGGCGACTGTTCTCGTAGATCGGATAAAAAAGCGTATTTTTCAAAATTTAAACAGCATCATATTCCATACGTTTCCTTTTTTCTTCGTTGAATACCTGCACAACGTAAAAAATATTTTTTTTATGATCTTATTTGTTCAGAAATGCCACGAGAACAAGTATGGGAGTTGTACGGCGGATTTTTGGTCGAATACATCATGGAAATCGGTTGGGATGAATTTATTCGATGTATGAGCCCAAATCTGAAGGTGAGGACGATTTTGTCTACTCGTCTTTTTAGACATCTTTCGAGTTGCACAAATATGAATAAACACGAGAAAAAGCACCTTCCCCTACTACTCTGCTTTTTAAGTCTAATGAAAAAGAAGAACGAAACTGGCCAGTACAATAAACAGTGATACCAAGGAACCACTTAATTGATAGGTTCACTTATTTGTGAAGAATTAGCCTGCAACGAAATCGGCTAACGTTAGAAAAGGGGATTTGTTGAGGATCGCACCGAGGATCTTGGAAGCGCGAACGGAGACTCATTGCACTGTGCCAAGTAATTCCCGATGCTTGACATATGTGTCGTATCGGAATATGTTAAAACTGTAAAGAGCCTATATTCCTTCCTTCTAAGTTTTTTCTTGCGCTTTTGGGAAGATTTCCAAAGCTTCAATAGAATGGATATACTTCTACATGGAGTTTACTTTTTATTTTCTGCCTACTACAATTTCCACCGTAGCGTGTTATGCGAAATACAACCACAACTATGCAGAAATGTTTTTAAAACTCTGGACCGCAGGTGTCTGCGGTGGGGAACGAACGCGCTATTACCCATTCTGGGGGCTGACGCGTTGACCATCACACGATGCGGGTCCTTCGTTTCAGCCTCATCTTAACTGGGTTCAACGCCGATGTGGGATCCCCAGATCAATCTCGTTGACGGATGACTGCTGATGCCATTGATCGATAGAACTAGCTGAGAAACATGAGAAACATGGTGTGGTGGGGAACGCGTTAGCCACCGTAAGGGATAATAGCGCGTTCGTTCGCCACCGCAGACTCCTGCGGTCCGGAGTTTTGCAAATATCTCAGCATCGTTGTGGTTGAACTTCTACATGTTTAGACACAGCAAATCACCTAGGAATCTCATCTGCCCATTAGTTGTTTTTTTAAAACAAATAATTGTTAAATAAGAATATGAATAAAGCAACAAATATGCTTAAGAAGTATTCGGACGGTGAGATAAAGGCGTATGTCGCTTTATTAGTTCTTACGGCACTTGACGAATTCGTTCCGCGCCACAACTGGCATGTAAGCGTTGTGGAATGTCACTTTCTAAGAGAAAAACTGCGCTAATATGTGGTGGCGTTTCAGACTTTGAGTCGATTAAACTCACGGCGACAAGAACAACGATCGGCATATAAGACATATATTGACATAATCGGCGACTAATAGCATAAGGGCCGTCGAAAATCGCAAGCGCGGCGCAGCCACTTAGGGATAACTTTGACTTTTTTTATTAAATACATACCTTATTCTTATTGCGTGCGTGTGGCGCAGTGGTTGGAGGCGCCACTGCGACACACACGTCCAATTGATCCCTGCTCCTCGATCCCCGCCCCCGCCTCACTGTCTCGATAGATCGGTAGGCCACCGCGAGTCATTGTAAAGGCCATTCAAATATGCATTCAACCACCTCCAACGATATTTAATGAAGTCGAATGCATGGCGCATTCCTCCGTTGACCAACACCGAGAGCTTTATCCTTTATCCTTATTCTTATTAAATATAACGTGTATGAAATAATATATAATATAGACTTACAAAGTTCGTCAGCACTTGCGCAGAAACTAAGCGTTTCAGAAATAGCGAAATAAAATTCACTAGGAAAACCTTTGCAAATAATATCATTTAGGGTTTTCTTGAAAATCTCGACTCCCTTCACTACTTTCTCGATCATGTCGTCTATAAAGCACATTTACGTGGTCCATCATTTCGATGTGAAGAAAACGCTGATGGCTCCATCACTTTGCACTACTTCACAGGGCGGCCTGGACTTTATCCTATAGTCAAAGGTCAGCGTGCATTGGCTGGCGTTCTTCTAATCAGTAATAGTCAGATCAACGGTGGTGCAGGTTTTCCTCCAGTGACGGAAAATTTTTGTTCGTTGCATCAAAACTGCACAATGTTCAGGTATGTATGGGAATTACACGGTAATCCATAGAATGTAGTAGTGTGAAAGCTGCCAACTAATCGATAGCGCGCGACACACCTTTGGACAGAGTAAATTAAGTAAATGTAAAAGTAAATGCTCGTTACCAATCGATACCTATAGGTGTGGTCTGCGAAGTAGCTCGTGTTGTTTTCCACATTGAAATCAGCATCAGTGTTACCGGGCGCATCCAACGTAGCGTTCAAATGGCCACAGGGGAACGAATTGAAGAGCACGTTGTCTTCCTTATTCAGGTATAATAGAAAATAGACAAAATGCATATGTTTATCAAATCTTCTTGTTCATTCATTTCTCCATAGAATATCCAGAGATCCATATGTGATAACACTCCAGATTTCTTTTCAAATTTTAAAATGAAAAAGACATTTTAACCTTAGCTCAGGAGATAGCTGAATTGAAAAGTTGTTTCAGGTGATTGATCAAGGAAACGGCTCTAAAGCAAGCAGTGTAGCAAGCCTGATCCCGATTCCAACCATAGGTTCGTTCGCTGATCTCAGATGTTGTCCCAGAAAGCATTCACCAATCGGTATTTTCAGAGAATCCGGATGAGATGCTTCGAATGACATTGCCTGAATTTACCGCAGCACTACCGTATCATTTGGTGTTCGATGAGCACTGTCGACTTATACACTCTGGCAACGAGCTGGTGTAAGTTCTAATGAAATAAAAACGGACATTAAAAAAATCTAGTCTGTTTCTCTGTTTCTGCAAGTCGTATCACATATACCATAATCCTTTACTAAAGTGAAAATCTCTAGAAATCACGTGCCGAAGGAACTTCTGGCGGCTGGCACGCCGATTGTGCGCGCGTTTGAGCTGGAACGGTATGTTCATTGCTGTTTTGAGATTTTTTGCGGCTCAGTCTTCTTTGGCGACAACTCTCATCCCACAATCTTTCATGAAACACTTTTAGACAGATTCAGAAGTAGGTGTAACTACAGCCAGAAACCGTGTCATTCCGTTAAAATATACCTGTTTCAAAATGTTACTCGTTTGTATTAGTTATAGCTGCGATATTCGTTGAAGGTACTGAATTGTTACTAAGCTTATCTGGGAAGCTTCCTCCAATCCACAGAGGATGCACCTGCCTGTGATGAAGAGCTAAAAGCTCTTAAGTAAGCATAATGATTCCACTTTATGCAATTATGCTCACCCTGAACAGGACAAGCCGTTCATTAATTCGGCTGAAGCAATCAAACGAAATCATAGCTGCTGTATTCAACTTTGCTCAGTAGTTTAAGCCTGAAGATGCGTGTTCGGAATTTTCGCCACAGCTTCTCTGATCCGTTTTCTTCTTATCTTAAAATTTTTGAAGTTAAACAAGCCCTTTGAATCGTTGACCGTTAACCTTGCACAGAACAATTTCCTGTTAAAACTTTCACCTGAGGATCACTGATAGATGTAAGATAACAATACTTGACGCTCTCTACTTATTCACTTTAGCTGTTTAGAAATTACACTTGCATTTGTTCTCTTTAGACGCGGTTCTCGACAATTGATAATCGTTAGGGGCGCGTGTGGCGCAGTGGTTGGAGGCACCTTGCAACACACGCGTGGAATCGTTCTCCGCACCCATGGCCCACCAAGCCTTCCAAACCTCCGGTGTTGGCAAATTGGTGCAAGACTTGTCTGGGAGGATAGCAGCACTGGTTCGATACATCGGTAGGCCACCGCGAGTCATTGTAAAGGCCGGATATGCATTCAATCACCTCCAAACGATGCTTAATGAAGTCGAATGCATGGCACATCCCTCAGAGATAGATCAGCGCCAAGAGCTTTATCTTTTCTTTATCGATGGTCGTTAATAATGCACTAGTTTCTCTTCCAGAATTAAAAGTTTCATCACCAGTGCTGACATACTAACATTTTTAGGCCACAAATTCCTTTCGATTTCGACAGTATCTGTAATTTTATCAATGCGGTATTCGTTTTACAAGTGAAAACTTTAGTGAACAACATTAAGGAACCGCGAGAATCAACGTTGAGGTGAGTGTAATTGACCGACTGCGCTACGATTGTTTTGGGTTCGAAAACAGGCTGTGTTCACTTCTGTATACTTTATTCCCATTATCTGTAATCCTATGTTAGCCATCGAATTGGAACCAGATGAGCGTCTCATTTAAGTGAGTTCTCCATTCGCACCTGCAGAACTACCCAGTGGATTCGACTAGCTTTTGGAATGCAAAGAGCAACATCACCTTTTCCTATGAGATTTTTTTACTTATTGTTGTTTTGCGAGAAGGTAGCCATGTACGGCTCACATGGCTCTGGTGAAAATGGCTGGGAATGTTAAAGAATGGCTTTAACAACTTACTTCCTAACAATCTGTTGTGCGAACGTAAAAACTTCATTGCTAGGCTTTCAGGTATTGCTCTATAAAACTGCAAAAGAATTGATTAATATCAATGAATAATTACCACTTTAAGCACGGCGGCGTCGAATGAAGTTCTAAATAGGTATACTGAAGATGACCTGCTGCCAAATGGACATCAGCTCAAACTCAAAGGTCAAATGGTGCTGCTCGCCGATAAGAAAGTAAGCTCCAGTTCATTTCATGCACACATTAATAGACACTAAATGTTATAAATGCTTACATGGATACTCGGATAGCTCGTTTGTGCGGGCTTCAGCACATGTTCTTTTTGCTTCTTTGCTTCGCAATCATTGCCCATTTTGGTGATTAGAATCGAACATGGTGAGTGCTAGCCTCATACCGTGATCTGTAAAACAGCTGCAACTGCTAATACAGCTGTTCGACTATAGTCACGAACACGTCCGCCCAACGTGTAGAGATCGTTCTAGGGGCCCCCTGTATCCTTATGGAGTCCACTCTACAGTTTTTTTCCTCCATTTGTTTCCTATTCTTTTCATTGTATTACCGGCCCATCTGTGTTTCGCTATCGATGTATATTCTCCTGGATCTCGAAGAGGTGACAGATTTCGAGGATCAGAGCTTTGCATTTTGGCTAGTTATTGAGAGTGCCGGTTATATTTCAGAAGACATATCCTAGCAGTCCTTGTGTAGTGAGTAGGTTCTAGACGTGGTTGAAGCATCAGCCGACTTTTCTGCTGCATAACAGAGTGTCAAAGGGCCGCTGAGTCGAGGAGATGAGCTCGGATTTTCTGATCGTTCAGTCGAACAGAAGCATATTTGATAGGTCCGAATACGACTCAAGTTGGTGTCCTTCTTCTGTCTAATTCCTCGTTTATGGTGTTTTCCATGCTCATTAACGGTTTGAGGTACACGTACGAAGTGGTCTCTGTAATCCCAGAACCACTCAACTTCATCTGTCCGTCATTGCAACATGGGTTTTCATGAGCTGGATCATCTTCCAATTTATGTGTATTCCAACCTTTTCCCGACTCATTCAGTTCACTAACCGTCGTCCCTATTTCGTTAGTACTTCCTGAGTAGATGTCGATGTCATCGGAGAAATAAAGATTTTATAGGAACTTTCCATCGATATGCACCTTTTTCTCATCCCAATCGACTGATTTCATTATCTACTGAAGTGCGGCGGTAAACAACTTTGCCTATACGATGTCCCCTGGTGTCTAGCCTTTTCCTATGGGTATTACAAGAAGTCGATGGAAAAGCTGTATGTTTGTGGCGAATTCACAATCAGATAGAGTTTTTATGTAGTACGGGTCTAGCCTTGACCGACGAGCGCTGATAGGATTTAATTCGTCTAGACACTTTCAAACGCTTTTTCGTTGTCCAGAGAAGTAAGATCTAGGGAAACGTTGTACTCCAGACAGGCTTCTACGGAACGTGATACCGTGTGGAAGTAGTCCATGCAACAGAATTTCTGTTGAAATCCTACTTGTCGAACTGGTTGGGCTTCAGTTAACGTCGTCTTATGCGCAAAAGGACAATCTTTGTGAGTATTTCGTAGAGCACATTGAATAAGCACACTAGTGCGTAGTGACGACGATCGTTTCGGACACCTATGATGAACGTAACCGGAGTTTTCCAATGGCCTATTACTTTCTCTTTCTGAAGGTAAGGTCTCATATGATTTGCGAAAAGCGCCTGTAATTTTTACCTATCAGCTTTAAGGATGCCGGCGATGATATTATCAGGTTTTAGAGATGTGCCTTTCTTCATGCTTTCTATTCTGTCGAAACTCGAACTTCAGAGGGTATAAACCCAGGCGGTTTTTTCCCAGCGGCAATTTTAGGATCCGGGACGGTAATTGCCGAATGAAAAAAGATTGCTGTAGGACTTTTCCGTTATGAGCTCCTATTATGACGGGATGTTTCAGTGATTCTAACCTAATTCATCAGGGTTGAGAGAAAACATTGTATTTGCACAAGTGCCGACGACATTGCTTCAGAATGCTTCTTTCTTTTGTGCTGCTTCTAACAGTTTTTTCCACCTGTAGCGTTTGCAGATCTTTCTGCAAAGCTCATCAGGAACTGGTATTTCTTACTTGACGTGTTTAGTGTATTATAGTAAGATCAAGCTTCGGCTTTTTTCCTTTCTCGAGTAACTACTTAGTGCTAATGGAGATCTGATCTAACCTTAATGCATAAGGAACTGGGGCAAATTCGATGCTACTACAATATCCTTTGACAAGCGTGGTCTCTGGTAGGGTCTTCTTTATTCTGCCAATCACATTTGAATAAATTTCGTTCAAAATGCAGTCGTGTACAGCTGGAACGTTATATACAGCTGGACTTTTTCTTCTTGGCCTATGACATGAATTTTTTTTCCAGTTTATTCCTTGTTCACGCCATCAAGGCCGTAGACCCAGTAGAGAATGCCGGGACCACCGAAGTGACAACTAGGTGTCATCTTCTATTAGCAAGGATACGATTAACCTCCCTTTGCGTTGTGCCATTAGGGGATTTCCATATCCAGTCTATCTGCGTCTTTCTGTCTTTTCGAAAACGAAATCCCATGAAAGAGATCTGCCTTGGACAGAAGTCCTAGAAGAGGGTTTCCATTTCCTTTTCGTTCTCCTATTCCGAATTTCCCTATCCTGTATTCATTTTTGTTGGCTGGTATTAGAGTCTCCAACAAAAATTGTAAAACGACTTCTTGTTGCGGATCATTTCCTAAAATTTGTTGTAAAACGCATCCAATTTGCTCTCATCAGCTGTACAACTTAATGAATAACAGTCGATGACACAATTTTTCTTTTGACACTTAGATTGGAGGAAAACAATGGCCAAGCGGCCAAGCGCAGTGGAAGGATTTCGTCTGAGGTGACTATAGGGGAAATAGATGGGCGTA